CTCTGTGAAGATATTAATTATGCTCTTTCTTTGAAGCTCACTTTTGCTCTGTCTATTGTTTTAAAGTTTTTACTTCTGAGGTATTTTTGTGATCTTTGTTTCTGTCTTGCACATGAGAGGTGCTCTTCAAGTGCTTCTTGACCTTCAGCTGCTGGTGCTCTGCTTGCCTAGGTAAGTGCCCTTGAGGGTGCCCCTCTCCGAGTGGACATAGCACATAGACACGGCCATCTCATGGGGAGATGCCAATTGTCAGAACCATTTTTCTTTTCAGTTGGCTCATTGATCCACAGAGTTCTTCCCGTTTCCTGACTGTTGATACATCAGCCTGGCTATCTGTGTTCTGGGAAGGGAGTGGGTGAAATGAACCGGCGGGCGGGGGGGTGTCTCACCTTTTCATACAGACATTCACTCTAGCTCCTGCCTTATCCCATAATCTGCTGCTGTGTGGCTTTAGAGCTAATGCCTCTCCTATTCAGTTTTTCTGGTGTGTAAACATTTGACATCCTGCCAGGCAAGTGGGTGGCACCTGGGGTAGGGAGGACACCTGAGCATCTAGCTGGTTCTTTTACAGTCATCCAAGCAGGCTTCTTTTCTCAGATCCACTCAGTTCTCCTTTCAGAGGTATCTGATGTCTCCAATTCCTGAGTTTTTCAGAGTTGGGTCTCATAATTGGGTTTGAACTTTTCAGGATTTCATCCCATAGACATTAGATTTCCTAGAGTCTGCTAATTATCTCTCATTCATACATTACTTTCCATAGTAGGACATTGTTTTCATCTAGTGTCAACTTATCTCTCATTCTCTTTTCCTTAGGAATCTATATGCCTTTTATTAGTTTGCTATTATATTAGTGGATTGAAGCAGAGATAAACATATGTATTCAATTCTCCATATTTAACCAAAAACATCCCTCTACTTTTGAGTATCTTTCATCTCGTTAGATGCTCATGGGACCTGACTGAATTAAAAACCTCTGCCCCTTTGTTTTCCTTATCCGCAGACTTAAGATAACAAAAATACTGAACTATCAATACTGGCTTTCCTTCCTCATTGTTTGTAAACTGTTTTTCTGAATTTTCATGTTCTTCCTCTGATGGCAAGGGCCCTAACAATGGGCCTCCCGAGGAGGAGGAGTATAGGAAGGGAGGTAGCAGCATGAAGCAAGCGATCTATTTTTACCCAGTGTTAAATGATAATGTCCTCTTCTCTAACTGAGTTTCTTTCTTTCCTAACTTCCTTTTTTCTTGTATGTCCCAATTTTTATCTCCCCATACAAAGACTTTTCAGGGCCCCCTTTTCACATGGACGTTTCCCATGGATTGCCCCCCCCCATTTCTCTCGTAGGGACCTGCAGCTTCTGTTGCTGCACCTCCTTGACCTGCTGTGCGTGGCTACCCTCCGACACGCCTGCTCTGTGCAGGAAGGCCTGCTTTGCCCTTTGGAGGCTGTGGCTTTCCTCCTACTCTTGAGAACTTTCTTCATAGTTAAAAACAAAGTCCGACATTCTCTGGCCTCTTGAATGAGGGCACAGCTTTCCTTCCCTTAATTAGCTTCCTTATTAGACCACTAATTTATCCTCATTCTAATGGGAATTTGTTTTCCACTTAAAAGCCGTCTTTTTCCTCCAAAACCTGAGAAATCTCAAGTGTCTGAAACACATGATCAAAAACTTGAGCTTTTCATTTTATGGGCTACAACCTCTGTTCTTTCTTGCTCACAACTCCTACCCATTTTTATTGGCTCATTTCCTATTTTTTATAAGAATATGCTGGACTTTGGTATTCTCAACCAGAAAAACAGCCTTAATTATTTACTCTTACAGTTCAGTTGTAATTATTTAACTTCTAATAGGAAAGCTAGGCTTCCCTTCTTTCCCCTCCCTCATCTCTGTTAAAAGAAGTCTCCCCGGGCCCTCCTTGGTGGCCCAATGGGTTAAAGCACAACACTATGAAGCTAGCCATAGTCACTGCAGCACTAGTTCAATCCCCAGCCAGGGAGGTGACCCACATGGTGCAGCAAACCGCCCCTCCCACCCGCCTGCTGCTCCCCTCAGCAGTGTACTTGATCAATCTGCCTGTTCTGCTCCCCACTCTGACTCTGGAGAGAGTCAGAGAGTCACCACCCCTGCCCCTCTGGCCTGAACCCCAGTTCTGTATGCATAAATAAAAGTCCCCCCAAACATCCTTATGTAACTTTAGTTTTGGGGTTATCTCTTTTTATTCCCCAGTAATGATCCATGATTATCTATATGCAACCCAGTACCATGGATCTTTCCAAAGTCTACATTTCTTAAAATATAAAATTTCATCTCTAAGTGACTTCCTTTCACAAGCAGGAAGAACTTCAAAAGTAGCTCCTTTTATCTGAAAAAAGTTTTGACTTTTCATTCTTAGTCTAGTATTTCTTGCCAAAATTACTTCCAGAGGCCATGAGATTGACCTCTGGTTAACCCACCCTTCTGCTAGTCACACTCTTATGCAAGTACTTTGAGTATGGGCTGGACTTACTGATTCTCTGATAATGAATAGAATATAGCCATGCAGATGTTACCTCTGAGATTAGTTTACCAAAAGCCTGTGGCTTCTGTCTGGGTGCCCTCTCTTGCTCCCTCATTCTCCCTTCTAGCTTGGAGGGAGGCCAGCAGCCACACTATCAATAGTCTGCCTGTGGAGAGGTGCCCTTTGCAAAGATGGGAGGGCAGCCTCTGACCAACAGTCAGCATGGTGTTGAGGCTCCTAGCACAACAGCCTCCAAAAAATAAAGTCTGCTAACAACACGTTCGTAAGCTTGGAAGCCCGTCCTCTGGCAGTGGAGCCTTGAAATGAGCTAGAGTCTGACACCCTGACTCCAGCCCTGTCAGCGGTCTGGCACCAAAGGCATCCGTAAGCCAGTCTGGTCCTTGACCCGCAGAAACCATGAAGCATGTTCTAGTTGTTTTGAGCTTCTGAATTTGAGAATGATTTGTTATGCAATAATAGATAAGGCCCTTAAGCCACTTTAAAAACTTTCAGTTTATACTTTCTATGTTTCTGTTTAGGTCATTGTTTCCTCTGGATGCCAATTCAGTTACATAAGGTTTTCTTTACATTCCTCTTTGAGCCCAGGGAACAGCAGTATCGCCTTGTTCAGGTGTGCATCTCCAGTGCCTACCACTGGGCCTGGACACTCCAAATACATTTGCTGGATATGACCTTCTGTCTTTCTCTGTTTGTCCTAGCTAATGAGTTTCCTTACTTTCCATGTTGTCGTTTCTTTGGGGATTTAAGAGGTAAAGAGCTTGCTGGTCTGGTTGGCTTGATCTTTTTCTCCATGATCCAGTGCACTTCCTCCAGAACTTCCTCACTGCTGTCTTACTGGAAGCACTTCTGCACCACCTCTTGCCTTCTTGGGGCTTTTTTCCAGGATAACCTGATCTGGTTTCCCTTCTCTCTGTACTGGGACTATGTGTTGTGCCTGGCAGAGGGCACTGTGCTGCTGGTATCCAGCAGGAGACACATATCAGCCACTGTGGAATAAGTAGTGTGTTTATTTCTATTTAAAAAATAAAAGTGAAAAAAATATGAGGTCTGTTGATATTGCTGTGGTAAGCCTGGCCTGAGGCCACTTTGAAATTTAGATGTAGAATCACTAGAACGCGGGTTTCCTCAATGAGGGGATATCAGATTGTAGAGATTCAAATTACAATCTCGGTCCTGTCATGCTGTGTGACTTTACGGAAAGGACTGACTTCTGATCCAGTTCCTCATCTATAACATGGAAATATGGTCTCCTTTTAGTGCTATTTTAGACATTCTTCTTGATCCAGCATTCGGTTCCACATTTTAACTTATATTTAGCTTCTTTGTAATAGTTTACTTCATAATTATAATAGGGGTATAACATTTTAATTTTGGTTGATAATTAAATATAGAAAAGACATTGTACATTTAATTGTTAATGCTAACACTTTCCTTTTATACCTTTATTAAAATGTTACTAACACTAACAAAAATATTCCTTGCTGTTAACATTTGTTACACTTTCATAAATGGGGCCAAATACTGTAATGTGACATTACTTTGGTCATTAGAAACCAGGTTACTGTCGCACTGTCCTAGTCCTCTCAGGTTAAACAGAGTACCATAAACTGAGTGATTAAAACAACATGCATTGATTTTTCTGAGTTCTAGAGGTTGGGAGGTCCAAGATCAAGGTGTTGGCAGATTCAGGGTCTGACAAGCGTAGGGTTCCTCGATGGTTGTCCAGTGTCTGTTCTTCTGTGGTAGAGGGTGAGAAGGAACCCCCCGGGGTCTCTTTCATAAGGACACTAATCTCACCCATGAGAACTCCATCCTTATGACCTAATCATCTCCCAAAATCCCCACCTCCAAATATCATCACATGGGAGATTAGGTTTCAATGTATATATAGTGAGGGAAAACAAACATTCAAATTATAATATCCACTGCCTTTAAATTGCTTAGCAATTAATCAATGAGACTTCATTTGGAAAAGAAAATTCAAAATAAGTCTATCCCAGTTTAAATGAAAACTTTGCTGAAATAATCCTACATATCTAAGAAAGAAGACCATCATGTGTAAATTATTTTGCAAGCTTAGGTGGACAGGAAGATAAAGCTTTAAGGAAAAATCACACTTAAAATACATTGTTCAGTTTTTTTTTTTAACTTTTAAAGTATTTAGTACTTTAAAAGTTTCTTTGGTGGAGATTTATTATCAAAACAAAAAAGAATAAAAATATAAAGATTCCTAGTATTAGAGGCTTTAAGGGGTCATTTGCAACAAAGTATATCTGGAGTGAACAGAAACCTTAGAGATTCTGTCCATCAGTGTATTCACTTTACAGAAGAGGAAGGCAGCTCCAGAGTCAGTGACCGCCAGCTGAGGACAGTCAGACTGGGGTCCCAGGCCCTAGCCCCAGCCCCCGAGTCTGCATGGCGTCTGCTGCCCCCTGTGCCTTTGTTAGAAGAATATGCACCAATGGCATCATCTGCTCCTACCTCTTCCTGGGACTGGCTGAACTGCTGCATCAGCTCTGTCTGGGCCAGCATTACTCTTTCCAGTTCATCTGACTTTTGTTTCATTTCCTTCCTTAAGTCCTCTGAAATGGAATCATTACTGTCTGTTTCCTTCTTCAAGCGAGATTCAAATTCCGCAACCAGATTTTTAAGTTTTTCGATTTCCTTCTCCTTTGATTCAGATTTTTCTGTAAATTGCACATGGGATTCATAGAGTTTTTCTTCAAGAGTGGCCACTTCCCGGCGTAGATCTCTGGTAGCGCCTGCGATTAAGTTGGATATCTGTAAGATAAACTTTGCATTAGCTTGTGGGAAATAGCTTGAGGTAACTGCAGAGTTCTTGTGGTTTCAAGGGGCTTATTCCAAATAAACAGTGTACTCTTCAGATGATATAAAAAGAAATTCTATGACATATACAAGCCTTCAAGCTTTTCTAAGTTAAAGACTTAAAGTGTTTCGTTTCTTACCTTCAATGGAGTTGCGTCAACCACTTGGAAATATGGAAATCTCCATGACTGCACTGGGCTCCCCAGGACCTCTCCAGTCTCCATCAGGTACCTATCTGAATTCAGTCTCTCATGGATTTGGGACCTAGAGATGCCTCATGTGTGGGTTTGGGAGCACAATGACTACCAGAGCATGCCACTATTTTGCTCACACCCTATCAATAAGTTTTCTTTTGCCATCTTTTCTTTGTTCTGTTTCATGCGCTAACTGGAGGCAGCCCAGGCAAGCACCCTTCTGAGGAGCACTGCCCAGGAGAACTGCTGTCTCTACCAACATGGTAGCTGTCAGTCACATGTGGCTATGGACAGCATGCGGGCAGATGTTGAACAACTGACTCTTTCTCACACACACAAGAGGATTTGTATCTTGTTTCTGTCTTGCCAAGGCCAATTCCACGCCATGCAGACAATATTGCCAATCACTGAGGGAAGAAGCACGCCAACGGCTCTCATTTGCATTACTGGAGAGTCGGCATTTGAAATGTGGCCTATGTGACTGAGAACTGATTTTTTAAAAAATGTATTTAATTTTAATTAATGGAAATTTAAATAGCTACCATATTAGAGAGTATTAGGCAAATCTCTATGGGAAAAGACTGCTTGTTTTCTTTCTCCAGAAAACAAACTAAGAAGAGCAGAGCCTGTTTCTAATGAGACATATCCTAATTATTTATGCTACGGATATTGTCATATTATAAATATTAGTACAATAAGAAACCAGCCCATAAAGAAATGGAAAACATTCATAGACCAAAATTCCAAGGAGTTATGTATCCAAAATGTGTTTCAAATGTTAAATGTACATTAAGAATAACATTGTTTTACAAAATATCTTCTCTCCATTTCAGTAATTTTATAAATTAGAGTAATATTCCATTCTCTTCACTTGGTCTAGAAAGGAAGAGGTCCCAGCTCAGTCTGCACAGTAGCTTCCATCACCCAGAGGTGAGCAGACCCTGAAACAGAGCAGTTGCCCTGGGAGAGGAGAGTTGCACAGCAGCAAGCACATTTGACTTCTGATAATGGGAGGCAACATTTGAAGATCAAGAGATTCACTTACAAAGCCTGGTAGCTTGCAAGCTTGGTAGACTGGGGCTGCATGTGGGCCTCCCTGTGTGGATGAGACTCTGAGCTGCAAAGGCGATCTCCAGGGAGGTGGGCAGGCAAGGGGGTCCAGTGGAGGGGGTGAGGAGTCCATCTCAGGAAGAACCACCTGGGAAGGCTGCATCTGGGGGGAGGGGCTCCCAGCTCCAGGTGCATGCTCCTGTTCCCATAAAAATCACTTAAAAATAACCACAGACTCAAAAAATTGTTAAGCATCAAGACAGTGTCTGCAGAGCTCATCTGTGGAGCCGGAGGCCCTTCTGCGGTGTGTGTGGGGCCTGTGTTACTGCTACTGTCAGACACTCACACTGGCCTGTCGCTCACAGTGAATGTAAAAAGTCTGAACCATATCCCAGTACAAGCAGAGCCTCATCTGATTCTTAATTTATACAGACTCTTAATGAGTTTATTCAAATATGGTTTCCTCCGGCTGCTGGCTAATCCACACACATGACACTGTATATACCATGTACATAAACACACACACATCCACGCACTGAGACACACACTCATATGTGTACACACATGCATATCTCTGTATGCTCACGTGTACACACATACTACACTCAGATAAACACTTATAAAAAAATAGGGTCGCTCTTACAAAACCTCACTTTCAGACACACTGTTAAGAAATTATGGAGGTGTGATTACACTTGAAAATATTTCCCTTCAGGATTATGCTCAGTGAAATAAGAGAAAAAGAAAAACATTGGGTGGTTTCACTTGTAGGAGGAACACAGGGAAAACAAACAGGGATCATAGGAAAAAAGAAACAAAAATAGCAGACAAACTATAATTAAGAGACATTCAGCTGAGCAGGAGAGGGAAGTGCACAAGGGACCCTGGTGATGCTTCACGGTGTCTCCGTGGTGGTAACTTTATGAGGATTACACCTGAGAGGAGTATGGATGCTGATGTAAAACGTATGTAAGTAAAAACAGGACCTGTTGGTACAGGGGTTACAGTCTTAGTACTATCAAGCCATTGCCAGCCACTGCACCACGAGTTTGATCCCCAACCAGGGAGCTGACCCATATGTGGCAGCAAACCTCTCCTGACTTACCCACTGCTCCTCTCAACAGTGTATTTCAGTCCATTTGCCTGTTCTGTGCCCTCCCCTGTTTCTGGTGAATCCTCTCACCCTCCACACCTCTGGCCTATACCACAGTTCTTGAATGCATAAATAAATAAATCTTTTTAAAAAGTATATCAATGGGCCCTCCCTGGTGGCCCAGCGGATTAAAGCACTGCACTAAGAAGCTAAAGCCACTTCCGAATGAGTTCGATTCCCGCCTGCCCCGGAGGTGACCACATGGCATGGCAGACCTCTCCTGACCCACCCGCTGCTCCCCTCAGCAGTGTCCTTCGTCAATCTGTCTGTTCTGCTCCCCACTCTGTCTCTGGTGAAGCCTCTCGCCGCCCCTGATCCTCTGACCCGTACCCAGTTCAGTGTGCACAAATAAATAAATCTTAAAAAAAAAAAGTATATCAATGCAAAGAAAATATTTCCCTTCATTTAAAAAAGTTTAGAATTGAAAATATTTTCAATTTAAAGATATAGGCTTTAGTTGTTGGGAAAATTTTAATCATGTAAAACACCTTAGTATCACTTGATATTGGATATTTGAGATATAGATATCTAATCACTAGTTACACGTATATGCTAATTTAGCAACAAACATGTTTTAGTAGAGAATTCCTCACATGGCTTGGCTGGATGGTAAGCTTGTACAAGTTATCTCAGATGTTTGCTCTGGACAAGAGGCAGCCACTGGACCCAAGTAGTTAACCTCAGCCCAGCGACCTGAGGAGAGCTGGGAGTTACCCATGCTATAACATTCTGCAGGGGAAACTGTTTCAGATCTGTAAAATCACAATAAACATAGGAACAGACCTTCTTTTGCAGTTCTTCTTGTTCTTTCTTATATTTTTGAATTATTTCTTGGTGTTTTTCCTTTTCAATATCAAGTTCCAGTCTAGCTTCTTCTTTAAAGAGCAGAGCTTGCTCCTCAAATTCAGCCAAATGTCGGGCTCTTTCCTTGGCAAGTTCAGCCTCTATCTAGAAAATAGCATTGAACATACATGCAAAGTCACTTCCCTTTGAAATGGTAAACTGCTCATTTTAAGGCTCTAATATTTTAAAATTTTCAATTCTAACATTGAATTTTAATTAATCTAATTTCAAAATGTTAGTTTTTTTTTTTTTTTTAAACAGACTCAGAACTCAGTACAGGAAAACTAACCTTGGTTCAAATATTTCTAAGAACTATAAAGAGTAGAGAAGTTAGGATAATATATTATGACCATTTTCAATACACTAAAAGCTTAGCCCTTTGCATGTCTATACTTTAAACTCAGTCCTTTCCAGCAGCCTGTAAGAAGAAAAATATTTAGAGGCTTTTAGATTAAGTTCTCCTAGAAATGTAGTGGAAGTACAAGGTGCAAATGTTGACAATTTAGTGGCCTTTCTTGATGGAGACATAGAAAGCAGTCAAGTCACAGATTATCACTATACGGTGACTCAAACTGGCAGGACAACAATAGGAAGAAAAAAAAATCAGTGATCCATTCTTTGACTCAGATAGAATCACAGTGCTGGAAAAGACCTCAGAAACCCCCTAGTTCTATTTCTGAAGCTTCCGTGAATTGTGGAAAGAATAAACAAGAACTTGGATTCAGATGAATTTGAGTCTAAAGCCTGGCTCTGCTACTTTCTAGCACTGTGATCTTAAGTTATATCTAGAACGTCTACAAGTAGTTATACCTAACTCCTTTGGGGGTTGCCATGAAGATTAAATGGGGCAAAACATCAGGGTAAAAGCATGAGCAGGTATTCAACAGTTGGTAGAGATGTGATCTACCATTCAGTTTCTCCACGATGCCTGCACCATGCAGTTTCTGCTCTGGCCTCAACACCTCCAGAAACCTCCTTCCCCAGCAAAGTTCTCCATTTCAGGAAGTGCTAAGTATTAGGCAGGTTTTCCTTTAGTTGAGCCAATGTTTCTTTCCCTATGTTTTTTGACCACTAGCTCTGCCTACTGGAAAGAGAGAGGACACAGTTGAATACAGGAATCCCTCAGACCTGGGAGTTCATCTAGTGGGCTCAGAAAAGGGATTCTATGGCAGGTGGCTCAAACTGATAGTGTGCCATGATGATAAATTCTTTTTTTTTTTTTTTTTTAGGATTTATTTATTTATGCATACAGAACTGGAGTACAGCCCAGAGGTGCAAGGGCAGTAAGAGGATCCACCAGAGACAGAGTGGGGAGCAGAACAGACAGATTGATGAACTACACTGCTGAGGGGAGCAGTGGACAGGTCAGGAGAGGTCTGCTGAGCCATGTGGGTCATACCTCCTGGGCAGGGATCAAACTCACACTGAAGTGGCTGGCTCACTTGCAGTGCTGTGCTTTAACCTGCTGCGCCACCAGGGAGGGCCCATGATGATAACTTCTAAGAGGGAGTAAGTGCTAGAAAATTAGGAGAAAAACTGTTGAAACCGACTTACTGTGACTTAATGATTCAGACACTAAGAGAGAAGGCGAGAAGTCAACTTGAATATCTCAAGGGGACACAGAAATTGGAGTACCAGGAAACAAAGTTTGCAGGAAGTCCTTTCAATAAAACAAAATGAAGATAGAAGTCTAGATTCAGTGGGAGTTGGGGAGATGGGGGTGGAGGAGTCAGTGGGATTTATGACACTGGGCACAGGACTAAGAATTTGCCCCAAGGAAAACCAATTCTCTTGATGCACAAATGCACAAGAAGTTATTTTCACTCTCAAAATGAATTTCTGTTGACCATTTAGGAACATGATAGACTTGCTCAAATTTGTTACTCCAAGATTGTTAAAGACAAGGAAATCTCAAGACAGAAATATTAAGAAAAAAAGAATTTGGGATGGCATTTGTCTCCATCTGCCTCCTGGAATCCTTTAGTTACTTCCAAGTTACCTTAAATAAACTGAAGTAGAAATCTAATGCAACGCCAGCTGTCCCTTCCAGACCCCTACTTCATGACATAGCACCACCCTCTGAGTTCACACCCACTCTCCCTGACCTTCCACCTGAATCCAACACCAAGCTTTGTTCAACTGCAAATATGCCCGAATCTATTCATTTCTCTATACATCTCTGCTTCCACCTCCTAGTCTTGGCCACTGTCACCTCTGGATCAGCTTCTTTTACTCTTACCTCTCTCTCTCCAGTCCATCTACACACAGCACACAAGTTGGATTATTCTGCTTCCTCGTAATGGTTTCTCAATGAACTCCTCCACATGGCCTCCCCCTGGGTCACCACCATGACCTGCTCCTGGGCCACCATCAGCTCCTTCATATGAAGGTCAACATACTCTTTCCTTACACCCAAGTGTGAGGAATGGACTCACACCAAGCACAGGACTCCCTGGGTCCTATTCCCTGGCGTAGGTCCAACTCCAGCTCCCAGGGTCTGTGTGGCTATGAAGACACCACCCCAGCACTGGCTATGACTATTCTGGACTTCAGCCTGACTTTGACCACGTTCCCCATTTGGCCACTGTGCCCTGGCCATCCTGGAATACGTCGTTCAAGGTCATATTAAAGGAGGACATCAAATGCAGAACATTTGGAAAAGTTTCAAGGCATATGTTTAAAAAAGGGCTAATAATAATCCACAAGATACCTTGATACTAATTTTTTAAAAGTAAAACTACAAAAATATTTTTGAGAAACTCAAGAAACGTGTGTTGAAGCACTAAAACATCAAGCGTTCAGAAAGTCCCTTGTGTAATTAATTGGTGGGGGTAAAGAGTTATTTTAGGAAAAAAATACATCTTTCAAAAGGAAGATAAAGGTTCAAAAAAAACAAAGTTTTTATTTCTATGAGTATAATTAAAAAAATAAATCATTGATAACAATTAAAATACATCTTTCAAAATGTGGACTGATTGCTCAGGTTAAAAGAACAAAAATGTACACAGAATAAGCGGGACAGGCCAAACTGTAAATGAATACAGAGGACTTAGAATGGCTTTTTAAAAAGTTCTTTAAGTTCATTATGGGGAAGAGGCCACTTAGGAAATCAGTAAAACCCTTTGATGAAGGCCAAAATAGGAGCGAAAAGGGGCAGATGAGCGGGTAGAATGTCCTGGCCTCCCTGAGTCGGAAAGCAAGGAGATCTTGCCCCTGAGTTGTTTCTTGGAATGAAGTAGTGTAGAGAGGGAAAAAAAGGAAGGAACAGATAGAAGATGGGAAAGGAAAAGCATGTAAACAGAATGGGAGAGGGAGACTGACATTCCTGATTTGATTTTTAATTTGCACAACCTGAGAAAGAGGTGCAATGTGACTTTTAAATATTTGGAGCAGCTTCAGCACTTGGGAGACCAGGTGTCACTGGAATTGCCGACCCTGTCACTGGGAGAGATGCCACGACCGGGCCCTTTACGACCTGATTGGTTTGAACAAAATGAGTCTACAAATACAATGACTTGCTGCAGTCAGTATAGTGCCTGTCACTGAGATGAGTTTATGTCAAGTTGTGTGTTTGTTTTTAACATGTTGGTTGATAGGATTAATTTATTTATAGCATCTTAAGAGAGCAGGGCACTTCACGCAACATCAATGAATTTGCGGATAGTGCACATATGAAGTATGGACCACTTCATACAAAAACAAGTCATAATTTTGATAATCAAAAGGAAATCCAAATTTCTAAAATACTGGCATGAATAAAATATGAGCTCAAGAGTTACACCAAGTCAGTGATTACTTGTGTACATATTCCAGGCTTTACCTATTTTTGCTTTTTATTTACTCACATACTCTTCTAGCTCAAACTCTCTGTCCCCTTTGAGGAGGTCTCATGATCACATAGCACCTGGGTAGGTGCTGTTTAATTCCTTTTCCATTTAGTGTTGAAATGCATATTTTTATAACATCAATGTCTAATATCTATGTGCAAAATATTTCCAATGTCGTTGATTTTGATATTTGTCATATTCCAACCACCCAGTGTCCTGTGTATGATTGAGAAGAATGTATATTCTGCTATTAAATGGAGAATTCTATAAATATAATTAGTTTATGTCTATTAAAGGTGTTGTTCAATATATCACCCAAACAGAAATTGTGCTACTTTCCATAGTATATATATATATATATATATCTTTACTGATTTCTGGATAGTTTATCAATTATTGAGAGAGGGTTATTGCAATGTTGACTCCACTTAGGAATTTGTCTAGTTCTGCTAGTCATATCAGTTTTTATTTAGTGTATTTTTTTTTTTAAAGATTTATTTATTTGTACATACAGAACCGGGGCACAGGCCAGAGGCTCAGGGGCGGCGAGAAGCCTCACCAGAGACAGAGTGGGGAGCAGAACAGGCAGATCGACGAAGCACACTGCTGAGGGGAGCGGCGGGCGG